TAAATGGTAAAACTTTAAATTTTTATTGTAAGTACTTAAAATTAATATTAAGAGCTCAAACTTGGTAGGAATTTTTTTTTCTATATGTAGATTAATATTTTTCATGAGCACCGAAAAAAGAAAAAAATTTTGCGGAAATTAATCACCCTATACCGGATGTCCGATGAATTCGATATTTAATTGCGTTTATCGTGGGTAAGTTGGCCGATCGATTTCATAATCCGATAATCGATCGATAAATAAACGAACGGGAGGATAGATCCACCCGTTACACTCCTCCGACTAAAAAAAAAGCCATTCTCCTGAATGGCAGTGAGCGTATGTCCCACTGAACTTATATTTTCCACGTGATTCTAAAAATTTTAATCCATTGCCTCGTCGATCTACGTTATCACATATCCAATAAATGTTAAAGTTTTCTTTTTGATTAAACCCTTAAGAGACTTTCTACAATCTAGATACGTAATTATGAGTGTATAATATATGTATATAAATGTAAAAATCTAAGACCCGACATAATATATACGAATAGAAGAACAGGTGCTGGCACGATTTTCCTTTCTACTGGTCCTTGGTTACGAGAAATTCGATCCGATCCCCCTGGAATGAACATTTCCTTCTTCCTGTACCTGTAACAAAATCGGGACTGGTATCCGGGATATTGAATAGGATAATTTGCGTCACGGCTGATTTGATCAGAATTAAAACCGCATGACCCAGTATTCCAAGCTTTTAACTACTGTGGTTGCTTGTTTGTTTTCCATATGGATATTTCCTGGTTGTTCAGTCATTCCGATTTCCTCGGACTTACTGTGTTCGGGTAAAAATTTCTTTTTGGTTATTTTCGCGACAGCTACTTTTTGAAGATTTTCTGTCTGGTTACGTGAGTTTCCCTCTTTCTCATCTTTCTTAATTTCGTTGTTGATACTTCTTCGTTGTATTACTTTTCTGATTAGCTCACATATTATGATGGTGCCTAAAAGCGCAATTATAATGCTACCATATACTATCGGGTTTTGTATTCCATATTATGCTGTGTGAATTTTCCGGTTCGGAACCTTTTTATTAATTGTGCTTTTAATTTATCGAAAACTAATACTATCTTCGTTTTGTCTGTGTGGATAATCCTCTTCCTCGGATAACTCTTCCAAAATTTGGGATAATTTTACTTGATTTTCCTCCGCATATGTTTCAATTTCATGATTTATGATTAGCCAGGACAGAATTCCTCCGGAAATCTTCATAATAGGTTGCATCTTCGGCGTAGTAATGAATCTTTTCTCTTTAGACATTCCCTCGCACCCGGGGGCCATCTATATTACCCCCGTTCCTTCTACACCTAATTCTAATGATTTGTTTGTTTCGCATTTCATAACTATGGTTTCCATTTCTCGGGTCGTGTATAACCATGCGTTAATTCCGGTTAATTTTGTCCAAAAACTATTCTTTAATTTAATTACTCTTCGACTACAAGTTTGTAGGTCAATGTCTCAAGCTCTTATATGTAGTTTTACTTCACATGGTGCTATCTCCGTTAACGGCCTGGTGACAGTGGTGTTTATACCGAAAAATCGTCCTTTAATTATTTATTATTTTAATCGCAATTTCGCTCATTCTCTATCCATTCGTCTCGCCAAATTCTAAGTTTTTATTTCCAAGTCCCAATTCTTTAAAATAATAATCGTCATTTCTCTCATTATATATCCATTCGTTTCGACAAATTCACAATTCTTTATTATTTTAATTGCAAATTCTTTCATTATATATCCATTCGTTGATTTCCCATACTAAAACTTGCTTGGGACTTAGAAAATTCTTGCTTACGTAAATTATTTTTCACAAAATAATAATCGTCATTCTTTCATTATATATCCATTCGCCGAGTTCCCATACTAAATCGGCTTGGGACTTAGAATAATTTCCCATTCTTTTAAATTCTTTTATAATGATTTTCTTTTGCACGCTTAATTCGCTCGGCTTCAAAATAAATTCTCGCCTTCGGTAACACTAATATTATTAACTAAATAAACATTTTCTTTCTTTTAAAATTATTTAAACTTACAGAAATTATTAATTATAATTATAATATAACCAAAATACTGTATACTTTTAATTTAACAAAATAATCGTTTCTAATAATACTTAAGTAATTAATCAAACTTTGAAATTGAACACAATATGTACATAGTTACATTAATAATACTCGCAACAATAATAGTAATTAATAATAATACTAAACGCATTGTTTTTAAACAAATGAACAGAATTAAATCAATTTAAAATATAACAGAAAAATCGGACCGGCGCGTCGGTAGCCGCTGTCTCTTCCCTTCTCGTCCCATCTTCTAGCCCTACTCCTCAGCTATCTCTGTCCCACAATCTTGGTCATACGGTAAGCAAATAATATCATACATTACAAACTTGACTGTCAAGTATTTTTATTCGCTGCAACCATCGTGTTGAATTATTGAATAGGTGAAGAAATAAATAAAATATTTATTTTCATATTTGTAACCAAAAGTTTTAATTTTGTGTAGTTATTATAATGAAAAAAAATTTTTATGATATAGTTTGAATGAAAAAATTAAAAAAATTTATAAAAAACAAAACCCATTTATTATGTAATAAATACTTAAATACAGTATATACATTTATATCTGTGATTATCATAAGTCACTCTCTAGCTGTAGTAATAATTGTGAAAAAGGTAAAAAAATTTTTCAGTCGTTGAGCTGCCGAATTTTCGGAGTTATTTCGGTGAGAACTTTCACAAGATGCTCCAACAAATCGACTCCTGATTTATTAACTGGGCGCAGAGTTTTTCCGTAACAGAATTTGTAGGTGCTGGACAAATTTTCATACCTAAAAAAATTAATTGATTAAAATTTTTTTTATTTCAATCCTATGATTCAATTATTGTTTGCAAAATAAAATTCTTGGATCTAATTATTTACAATTATTAAGAAAAAAATAAACAATAATAAAAATAACACACTAAAAAATTATTTGATTATTATTACTATTATTATTATTGAAAAAATTTTTAAAGCAAAAAATAATTAATAATGTTTAAAAAATAAAACATATAAAAAAAAACTTACTCTTTCTTATTAACGTTTTTGTCTATACACAATTTAGCCAAAGACTTCAACAAATATTGCAACCTTTGTTCCATCAAAACAATCAAATTTTCCTCTTTTTCATTCTGTTGATTTTCTTCGATCTCTTCCTCACTCTCTTTTTTTAAATTCCGGAGCTTTACCTCCTGATTCTCTTTGTCTTCTTCAGAATATTTATTTTTATTTTCTCCATTCATAACTTCTAAGTTTTCTTTATTTCCATCGAATTTGATTTTATTGTCCTTGTGCTTCTCAATCATGATCTCTAACATTGGAGTGGTTTCCAAAATTAAATCCAAGCCTGACTGATAAGCTTTCAATTTTTTTGTAAATGTTGAGGCTACGAAGAAAATAAAATAAATTGTTACATTGATATTGTAAACAATGCAGCAATTAAGAAAATATATTAATAAATATATATAAAAATTAATGCAAAAAAATTGTATTAAATCGACCGGAAAATATTTAATTTTTTTTGAATAGATAGATTAATAAGAGACTATTTAATAAGCTTTCAAATGGAGTTTACAGGAATTTAATAAGTTATCGAATTTAATAGTGATTGCTTAAAGACCCACTAAAACTCACTATTTAATTAAATTTAAATACTTTTAAATTGCTGTAATTTTTAAACGTATTGATCCAGCAAAATAAATAGCTATGTAAATAATAGGTTATTTAATGAGCTTTCAGATAAAATTTACAGCTATTTAGTAAGTTATCTTATTCTTAAGCTATAGCGAGGAGAGACACTAAAAGTTTTCATTTTTAATAAATTTTTAAAAATTATTAATTGCTGTAATTAGTAAACTAACCGAGCGATTTAGCTGATCTTCGAAGTTAACCTTGGAAATCCTTCAAAAAATAAGTACGCTACGTTTTATGGAGGTCCGATAAGAATTGTGTGAGTTATAGTAGAGCCCGGTTATATCGTATCAATAAACTTTTGAGTTAATTGTATTTTCTGAATCTTGACGATTTGAGTCAAGAAATGCCAAAATTTTTGAAAACTCTCATTATAAGGATAAATGCAATAGTTAGATTTCTATAAAATCTTCTAAAAATACTTACTGGATGCCTGATGTTCCTGAAGCGCCACGCGCTCCATCTGAACGGTGAGGAACTCAACTGGTTGCTCGAGCGCCATGAACAATTTCGCCGCTTTTTCATAGTGCAGGCGGCTTAATTGTAGGGAAGTTTTACGTTTGTTGACTTCCTCTTGGTCTAATTCACGGTACACGCGGTGGTAGAGTGACCCGAGACGGTGCTGGATGTTCGCGGCCCGGAACTGGTAAATTGGCTGCCGAGGACCTGGTGTCTCAGTGTCGCAGTACTTAAGAGCTTTTTGTAATAGCTCTACTACTTCTCTGGTTACTTCTTCTTCAGTCTGAAGGAATAAGTCGGAAAAAAAATGTTTGAATTTTGATCAAAGGTTATGGGCCCAGTCATTAGAATTTTTTTCTTTAAATATAACTTCAATACTACTTTCAATTTTTTAATAATTTTATATCAAACGTCGATACAAAAATAATTATCTACTGTACACTACAAGAATAAATTTAAAAAATAATTTTACTAAGTTAATTACAAATAAATTACAAAAAATTAATTTTATTTAAAATTATATTTTAAAGCTCGTTTAAATTTTCCCGCGAATAGTATTTTTTCATACAAATTGAATGCCCTCTTTCGTTCCGATAAGTGAATCATAAAAAAGAACCAATTAAAGACTCTACTACCGGCGGTCGGCCAGCAAAACAATTGAGTATAGTATCAGCTGTCTTCAAGCTGTATTTACAAATAAATTTTTCTATATGGCTGCTCAAAGGACAGAAAAGTTCTCCAACTACCAGCCAAAAAAAATTAATTATAATTAAACAAAACAATATTAAGCTGCAATTTTCAATCCGCAACTTCCTAAAAGGCAGATGAGGAGATTAAAAAATAAATTGAGTTGAAAAATTGATTTTTTCAAAAGTTATTGTGTTTGCCCCTCCATAAAAACTTTAAAAATCCCTTCAAGCCCTTAAAACCACTTTTTTTTTATGTAAAAATAGCAATTTATCGATTTAAAAAAATGTGTATCAAGAAAAACTATAGCTACCTTGTGATTGCTATTATTGAAATCTTGAGTCAAAGTTGCCATGGCATAAAGGGTGCTGGACAGCTCCCAGGTGACGTCCTCCCAGATAAAAGGATTGATTTTCTTGCTCCCAAGAACCTGTAGGGCGGTTTGATAGCTCATGATTGCTTTGTTGTAGAAGTACTTCTCCTGGCTCTGTCTCTTGTCAGGAAAATGAGCCCAGGTCCTCATCAATCTGCCTGAATTCGAGTGGAGAAGCGCGAGATTGACGTCATCTTTGCTGGTTTCAAAGGCCTTCACCCCGGCCTCTAGGTGCTGGCAGGATTTAGTGAGCAAGGAAGTTACCTCAGCGACGGGGGTAGAATCTTCCTGGTCTACCTGCTGGTATTTTGAAGTAGCTTGGTTCATGTAGAGGACGCCTAGCTCATTGTGGATGTTTCCTAGACGACGGATTAGGATGTTCTTATCGGGTTCAAGTGGACCCAGGGCTAAGGCTTGCTCGTAGCAATTCAAAGAGACTATTAAGGTCGCTTCCAGGGTTGTCAAGGTTTCTGGAAGCAGCTCTTCTACATCTGGAATTAATTTTTGGTGTGTTTTAGGAAGCTGGAGACAATTTTAAGCTCTATATAGCTACAAATGGTTGATCAGATTTAGCAGATATATAAGATCTGATCAGATATATCAGAATTATTAGGTTGAAAATAATATATTGGATCTGATCAGGTAAACCTAATATATACAATCTAATCAAATATAACAGATATATTAGATTTTCAGATATCTTAAATTTAACCCAAATCCCATAATCAAAAATACTTACTCATATCCATATCAAACAGCTCGCTGACAATTCTAACCTCAACATCATCTGCCTCTTCATACGCCCTCTTGTGTTCCTCAATATTCTGCCAATCATGAACAATCATCAAGCAGCAATCTCCAGCCCTTCCCAACAAATAACTAATCAACTTATCATTTTTCATCCCGCAGAAAATCTCCAAAATCCTATGACACCTCAGCACCGCCAAACTGTACCTCAGCGACCTCCCAAACCTCTGGTTCGTATACTCATACTCTCCCAGAACCGCAAAAATCAGCGTCGCTTTCTCATACAACAGAATCTTCAAATGATTCTTCCAATCTTGAATATCGCTCTTCTTCTGCCAGGTCGGTAAATTCTCCATCTTCTTGCAAACCGCTTTACTATTCCCCTCATCCCTCCCCTTATCCTTCTTTCTCTCCTTCTTTTTCTTCTTTTTTTCCTCCTTCAAACTCTCATACGGCATCGGAATAGCTTCAAAGGACTTGGCCATTTTAAGAACCTCCTCCTCCTTTTCCTCCTTCTCCTCCGGGAAGTACTTCAAGCACTCCAACCCCTCCATAACATGTCTCAATCCGTCCAAACAGCGTTCCGCGACAGTTCCACTGATCCCCTTTCAAACTGGCGATTAAACCGCGATAAATCAAGCCTAAAGCCTGATTCAAAAGTTACAAGAGGGTCACACACACACACACACACACACACACACACACACACACACACACACACACACACACACACACACACAGATCGCGAAAACATTCAGGGAAGCTTCCTAGGACCTCAAAATGTCAAGATCTGATGAGAATTCGATTCCCGAAAAACGGGGCCCCGTTTACCGGTAACACTAATAACTTCCCAATTTTTGAAAATTTTCAATTTTCTTAGCGGGAAGTTAAAAAAGCAGATAATAATTAATAGTATGAGACGCGTATATGCTATCCATTCGATGCATGATCATCTCTTCTTCCTTGTTGATGTCGTAATTATAAAAGCTAATTATTACTGTATCTCTTGCTGATTGTAGAAAAGCAACTCAAAAAACCACGATTACTAAACTCAAAAAAATGGTTATTACTTATTAAAGTTAACAATTTAAAAAATAATCCAAATAGAAAAAAATTGACAGTGACCTTGATTGTTTGTAACGAACCTATTTTTATCAAGAAATTGATTGGGACATTCTACATGCATCATAAAGTTTCTAGTGAATCCGAATTCATACCTAATGTATACCAAGAACAATAATTTTATTAAAATAGTATTGAAATATTCGATGGTCATTGGGGAAATGAAACAAAAAAAAATTTCTAGATCAATAATATCATATGCACATGCTTTGAGCTTTGTGACATACCTAACTGTTCCTGGCAATTAATGTAACCTAGAATGTAATAATTATTTCGAGCGATATTGATTTTTAAGAAAAAAATACGTGAAAAAGTACCGTTGAAAACTGATATTGAAAGATTTTTTAAAATAATTTATTTTATTTAGTAACAGACGAGAAACATGAGATTTAACTAAGAGACATAAAAGAATTTTTGTAATAGAAAAAATACCATTAATTAAGGTCAAGATCTTTCCAATGATGCTAAATTTAATTTAAAAAATTTATTTTTTTTTGTCTTTAATAAAATTTTCTTGAGAGAAATTTTTATTTTGAAATAATAAGATTGTTATTAGATTTTTTAATTAAGTTCCATCAATACTTTTTTTCACACTGAAAATTACGAAATTCAGGTAATTAACAGCTTTTTAAATTTTTCAATCAATTTTTCTAAAAAAAGACAACGAACAAAAAAAAGTCGTAAACTTTATCAGGGTCAATAATCGTCATTATGTTTAAATTTAATGAAATTAAAAAGATAAGTTTTCCTATTAATATTGTTTCGTAGGTTATAAACTATAAATCTCGTATATCACTCAACGGGTTGTCTCCGAAACTAAGCAGCTTCTTAAAACTTACCCGAGAAAAAATATTTATATATAATTATATATATATATATTTATATATAAATTGGTTATATATGATTATGTATGAAAAATGGCCAAATATAATCATATATAATTATTATTAATTATATAATTATTAATTATATATAACAATATTTATTACATCTAATTAATTATTGGGTTAATTTTATGGACAGAGTATTTAATATGGTCCTACGCAATTCTGTGTAACTGATCAAAATGCAAAAAAAAATATCTAGATCTAATTTTATGGCTATAACACCAGCGGTCACCCATCCAACTATTAACCCTGCTCAATGCTGCTTAACTTTGGTGATCTCCGTGCGTCTTGAAGTTTCTGTCTGCTATGCTGCTGTCTTAGGTGGTGACGATTCTATGATCTACATAATGTATCATATGAGTTTATGATAAATATAATATAAAAATTGATTTTATAATATATTTGGATAGTCATAATTCATAATTTATTCATTTTACCGAATCTCATTATAATATAACACTTATTTAAATAATGAAATAAATAATGATTTTACTATTAGGTAGTAGCAGAGCAGACCAAAACATCTCATAGGAAATGTACACTGTTAAAAATTTCTATTGTAATTTTAAAAGAAATGTATTGGAAGCTAATAGGCAAAATATTTATTTAAAATTACAATCGGGTATAGTAATATTACAAAACATATATAGATTTGAGGTTACTAATTTTACAAGGTTTTGTAATTTTACAAATATTTTTAGATTAGCTACACGGAAAGAACAAGATGACACTGGATACCATCTCAGATTATACTCAGTGATATCTGAGGCGAAAAATTTTTTTCAGATGGTAGCTAGTATAATCCAGATTATAATGAATAATATCTGGATTATACTCATTGTAATCTGGATTATACTCATTGTTATCTGGATTATACTAGCTACTATCTGAAATTTTTTTTTCACCCAGTATAATCTGGGATTATATCCATTATAATCTTGTTCTTTCCGTGTAAGTTTGTAAAATTACAATACTTTCCTTGAATTTTACTTTAATTGAAATAATAAAAAAGAAAAATTTGATTTAATATTTGTTGTCATTTTATTTTTATGAAGCGGTGACTAGATTTTGCATCTCACGTAGACCTAATTTTTACAACTCTGATGATATAAAGTGAAAATAATATTTACCCTAACTGAGAATCGAACGCGAGCCGCGCGCTTCCCAGACCAATACCTAACGCCCTACGCCGTACGACCGATAGGTTATTTAACATCTTATTATTCTTATAAGCTAATCCTATGTGGTGATTGAGCATTACGGTTTATTATTTATTATTTACATTATTTGTGTTATTTGATGGTGTTTTTTGATGGAAAATAACTAACTTTTACATTATTTATAATTCATTGAATATTATAAAAATTAAAGTCTAACATATACTCATTCAAATATATCGATTTCGAAATAATCGTTTGAGCGTAATATTAAAATTTATAAAAGATAAATGATGCCTCGAATTTATTATTACAAATAAACAACCATAGACTAAAAATTAGTAAAAATAAATATGAAGGACATTGTTGTTTTTTGATACATCAGTCTCATTTTTGTAAAACTGAAAAGTATTGCTTTTAAAATTGGAAAACAGTGAATTAAGTAGAATTACAATTTGTGAAATATAATTAAAATTGTCTGGTAATATTACATTGCACTGGGTAATTTTACAATGAAAATTGTAAAAATAAAAAAAAGCTTTTTAAATTTTTTATGAGATCATTGTAATATAAATTATAATATTTTTTTGTGATTCTACATACAATTATGCCGAATCAGATCACAAATAATGTTTGCAAAATTAAAAAGCTTTTTCTTAAAAATTGACGAACGGTTCTTATAATATTACAATGCGTGTTAGAATTATACATTAAGTTTGTAAAATAACAATACATCTTAGTAGATTTCATGGTGTTGGAAAATTACATGAATTGTATTTTATTTCGCATTGCTATACACTGAATTATAATTTCACTTATTATTTGTTTTGTAATATGATTGTGATATTAAAAAAATTTTCAACAGTGTACTGTTTTTCAATTTTTTAATTAATTATTAGGCTACGTAGATTGAATTTACAATTTTTCAGGAAGTTTTAAAAATTCAACTACTTCGCGTGGCTCTACTTAATAAATTTATTAAGATTTTTACCTACGCCTGAAATGAATTTCTCGTTGAACAATAACATTAATATTTTCGATCAGAAGTTATCAACGGGAAGTTGGGGTCATTTATTATCCTGGGACATAAATGTCATAGGTTTGATTGCCCGTAACGAAAGTTCAATTAAAACTTTCTTCAAACAGAACAACAATAATTAATGATTAACGGTTTGCTTACAGTTGAGAAGTGTAAACTCGAGTTTAGATAACTTTATACGCGCAGTTTATACTTACACAGGAGATTTTATAAATAATTCGGTTAGCAGTGTGGGTGTGTATGTGTCATTTCAATATGTCAGTTCGTCCTTGATTCGAGAAAAATCAGTTTGTCAGTTTGTGCTGCCAGGGAATTTGTTTATTTTTTAGTCTCATACTTTTCAGATTTTTTGTAAGTAATATAATAATATAATACCTTCAATACTATTTTTAATTTTTTAATAATTTTATAAAACGTCGATAAAAAAATAATTATCTACTGAACACTATACAAAAATAAATTTAAAAATAATTTTAATAAGTTAATTACAAATAAATTAATTTTATTTACAATTCTATTTTAAAGCTCGTTTAAATTTTCCCGCGGAAAGTATTTTTTTCATACGAATTGAACGCCCTCTTTCGTTCCGATAAGTGAATCATAAAAAAGAACCAATTAAAGACTGTATTACCGGCGGCCAGCTAGCGAAACAATTGAGTATAATATCAGCTGTCTTCAAGCTGTATTTACAAATAACTTTTTCTATATGGCTGCTCAAAGGATGGAAAATTTCTCCAACTGCCAGCCGAAAAAAATTAATTATAATCAAACAAAACAATATTAAGCCGCAATTTTCAATCCGCGACTTCTTAAGAGGCAGATGAGGAGATTAAAAAATAAATTGAGTTGAAAAATTGATTTTTTCAAAAGTTATCGTGTTTGCCCCTCCATAAAAACTTAAAAAATCCACTCAAGCCATTAAAGCCACTTTTTTATGTAAAAATACCAATTAATAAATTTATCTTTCTAACAGTGATCTCTAATTTCAGCACAATGATCTGGTCATGTATAATCTTCAGTATTCTTCTCTCCACGAACGCTGACCAACAATCCACCGAAAAGTAAGTCGCACATTCTCCTTTACAAGCTCTCAAACTAACTTCCAATTTTCCAGCATCATCAAAGAAGCGCAGCAGAAAATAATGGTCTTCCTAAAAGAGCCGGCAGGTGTCAGCTGGTTGACTTCGCTAACCCAGCGCCAGAAATCGCCCCTGAGAACTTCAGAACTCCTGACTTCAATCCTGGACAAATCTTGCCCGGCGGGTCCAGAAACAAAGTCCGCGGCTTCAAAACTCCAGGAGTTACTGACCACCGACAACGCAACGCGAATCGAGTTCGAAGGCTGGAAGGACCTGATGGACAACGGGCCCCAAGATGACGTCATCTGCCTGTACCGGGCCCTTAACACGACCCTGAACCACACCGAGGACTGGCAGAAGTTCCTCACCAGCGTCTCCGAGGGGTACATGGTCTACCTGGCCCTCGACATGGGCACCAAGTACATAATCTGTCTGAAAAAAATCCCTGCTCAGACTCGCATCGATCCCACCACCGAGGTTCCCCCCACCACGACCCCTGAGGCCCCGGGGCCCAAAATGGGAAACGGAAGTCGGGCCCTGAATGACGCTGTGCCTCTCAATGAAGATTCCTGCGAAGAAACCACAGAGCGGGCAAAAAATTCTAGACGACAGTTCATCGAAGTAAGGCCCACTTCTCCTCCACCCTGCAACAGGCCCATTATTTACGTCCTGCCGGTGAACTACCCTTTGCACGCGTTCACTTGGTACCCGAGCCCTCAATTATTCTACCAGAAAAATGGGCCCCAAAATAATTTTGGGCCTTATGTAGCTCAGAGCAATTTTGGGCCTTATGTCCCTCAAAGCAACCCTGGGTATTATTATCCTTCAGCGCCACAACGACCAGAAGTTTATAGGCCACAAAATATTGGGACCTATGGAAATTTTGAGCCTTATAAAAATTTTGGGCCTGTGATGCCAACTCAAGGTTCCTTTGAGCCAACAAGAACCACAAAGCCCGTAAGGCCCAATTTTATGGTCCCAATGAGACGCAGTCCCTTCACCTTAGAGAAAATTGGGCCCACTGGGAACCCAGGACAGCCCCGTCACTGGCAAGTCCCACCTAAGTGCGACAAGAATACCTGGCGGCCTGAATGCTTCTGGAAGCCAGCGGAAAATCGGCATCAGGCCCCGATAAGTCCCACTATGATCGACAATAATTTCGGGTACAGAAAAACTTTGCCGGTCAAGGAGTCGATGAAGGAGAACCCGATGCTTGCTAGGTTCTGGAAGAAGATTCCGCAGAACCAGAATTGGGTCCACAAGAAGCTTTCTGAAATTCAGGCCCCAATGGCTCCCGCGAGTCCTATGCCAGGCCCAATTTCCACCGGCTCAGTTCCCTGGATCGTGTACAACCAGTACTCGGTGAAGTACCCGCCAGGTACGCCTCTATATATGGGTCAGAACTACTGGCAAGGCAGGACTAGACCAGTCCCAGGAATTGTGTCTGGCCCAATGGAGGGGAGACAAGATCAGGCCCAACATCAAGGAAAGAAGGGGAAGGGGTGTAAGAATTGCTTGTGCAATTTATGTGACAGGCCCATTATTGTTAAGGTCTTGATGGACAATGCGGGGAAAATGGGCCCTATTGGGGACTCACGGAGGTCTATAGACCCAAAGACGATTGCTGAGGTGATTTCCAAGACTGACCAAAGCTTGGAGGAAGTGGAGAGGCAGATACATGAAATAGAGGGCGAGAGTAATGAGTCGGAGATTGAAGAGTCTACGGAAAGCAGTGAGGTCTGATTTGGGCCTAGTTGATATTTTGGGCCCAAAAAAGTGTGGGAGCGAAAAATCTAGGGAATTTTCTGTACTTTGTGAAGATGAATAAAAGAAATTTTGGAAAATTGTTTTTTTGCTGCGTATGCGCAGTAAAAAATTTTTTTTATTGCGCATGCGCAGCAACAAATTTTTTTTCTTGCGCATGCGCAGTGAAAAATTGTTATTTTTTGCGCATGCGCAATAATTTTTTTAGAAATTGATTTAGGAGGAGATATTTTTCCTTCACACTTTTTGCAGGCTTATGGACAGGAAAACATAATAAAATATGATAAAATTAGTTTTTTTATTGTCCCCTTATATTAATATATAATTATTTAATATATATTTATTCATTTATTTATATATAAATTTTCATTTTGTATTATTTAAAAATATCTCTGGAAAAGACATGTTGATTTTCTACATACCGATTTTAAAACTTCGAGTTTGTTTTTTTTTTTTGTTACTTATATTATTTCTCTTAATCTATCAAGAGCTTTTCAGCTCAGGTTTGTGATGTCTCCAGTTGGAAAGATTGACGACATACAGAACCTAGGACGACTTCTGCACTGTACACGGCTGAAATAAAAAAAATAATTCATTATTTATTGTATTCAATTATGGGAAGCTTATTATTTTTTTTAAAAATTTATTTTTCTATTTTTCGCTTACCGATATTAGCACGAAGAACATCACTAAGTAAATGGAGGTCATTAGCCTGCGTGATAATAATGTAGTTAACTTTAGTGGCATTTATTTCTTGGATTTGCGCTAGAGAGCGTCGCGTTTTTTCATAGGTTCCACCCGCGCTTTCGATTATTTCTGCAAATGCTGAGGGTGCTGGTACAACACTTGGAGTCACATAGAAAATTTTACCCTGAAACATAAATAACTCAATCATTATTTTATTTATTTTATACAATTTATTTCTAAGATTTACGATCTAGTTATCAAGAAAATGCTTCACATATGACCATATCTGACTCATGACCATATGTGACTCATATGACCATATGTGATTTATATCCTTATTTTTAATACAGATCTTATATGTGATTCATATGTTTATATGTGACTTATATGATCATATATGGTTTTTAGGATCATATGTGACCTATATGATCATATGTGACCTACATGGTCATATGTGACTTATATGTTCATATGTAATACATAGGAACGTATGTGATCCATAGGAACATATGGGATTCCTTAAAACATATATGATTTATAGGAACATATGTGACCTATATTATAATATATGATTCATAGGAACGTATGTGATTCATAGAAACATATGGGATTCATAGGAACGTATGTGATTCATAGGAACATATACGGCTCAAATGTTCATATGTGACATATAATCATGTGTGATTCATAGGAACATATGTCATTTGAGGGAACATATTTAAGTTATCGGAAAATATGTGATTTATATGGTCATATCCGATTTATAGGAACGTATGTGATTTATAGGAACATATGAGATTCATAGAAACATATGTGATTGTTAGGAACTTATTCATAGGAACATATGTCGTTCATATGTTCATATGTGATATGGTAATATATGATTCATAAAAACGTATTTGATTCATAGGAACCTATATGGTTCATATGCTTATGTGACATAATATGATTATATTATAATCATATGTAATTTATAGGAACGTATGTGATTTATAGGAACATATCTCATTCATAGGTACATATGTGCATTATATGGTCATATTTGATTCATAGGAACGTATATGATTCATAGGAACATATGTGATTGATAGGAACATACTTCATTCATAAGAACACATGCGGCTTATATGTTCATATATGACTTATATGGTCATATGTGATTCATAGGAACATATCTGACTTATGTGGTCATATATGACATATGTGATTCACAGAAACATATATGACATAAATATGTGATTCACAGAAACATATATGACACATCTAATTCATTGGAACATATATGACTCATATGTGAATATAACCAATCAAACATGATATATGAGTCATATATCTACATATTTGATTCACATGGGTTCATATGCGATAGAATTTTACAGAAAAAATTTTCTCACATACCTTAAGTACTTCTCCTCTATTAGGACTAGCGAGTGCCTTTTGAATATTGCAATTAAAACTCCTCTCGAAATCTTCATTGTCAAGCCCATAACCTGCCTCGTCAACAAAAGTATTCCTGGCGAAGCACTCCATCAGCCACTGGATACTGACAACATACTTGCACCTGCTTAAGCAGCAGAGAAACTTTACCGTCCGGTAGGGGGCGTTCATCACCAGGTGAGTAGCATCTCTCCAACTGGCTGCTAAAGTACCACCCAGCTCCCGGATCCTCTTGGCGTGTTTCCGGGGATTGGTCCCACTGAACAGAATCTTGGGCTGCATTTCCGACCCAGGAATTGGTGCATCTGGATTGGTCACCACAATCGCCTCTTCTAGCCCCAATAACTGCGGGTCCTTGCTCAGAGTCAGATCCAACCTGGGCTTCTTATTCCGCCTCGCGTTAGGTCCCTGACCCACTGCTTTTACCTTGTCGTAAGACTCCTGGGTGATGTTGATCGGCATTTTCCAGGCGGTCATAAGATGGGGAACCAGTGAGTAGTCTAATCTGAAAGGATGAGTCGCGTTGAACTGCTGGTACTTGGGCTGTTCCAGTTGATGGTGGGCAGCCTGCCCGCAGACAACATCTATTAGCCACTGGACGTTTACGCAAGGTATTGCCCATTCTTTAGCTTTTTTGTATTTGGGTCCCTCTGGCTTTCGGCAGATCAGGATAGTGTTGTGACGAGAAAAGTATTTTGTATACTGGACCTAGAATGAAACAAAATAATTAAAAATATGCTATAACTAGTTTGTATGTGATCATATACGTCCATATTTGGTCTTATGTGACAATATCTGGTCCTATATGACAATATCTGGTCCTATATAATAATAATATCTGGTCGTATATGACAATATCTGGTCGTATATGACAATATATGGACCTATATGAAAATATCTGGTCCAATATGACAGTATATGGTTCTATATGACGGTATATGATTCACATGTGACATAATTTGGTTTATATGACAATATATAGTTCTCTACAGCCATATATGATCATACGGTTGAGAACATACGGTTCTATAAGACAATGTATGGTTCTATATGACAATATATGTTTCGATAAAACCATATAAGGTCCTAAATGATAATATATGGCCCTATATGACGGTATGTGACTTCTATATGGAACTATATAACGCTTGTGTGACAGTATATGGTTTCATAAGAAAATTTATGGATCCACATAACAATATAAGGTTGCATCAGATAGTTTATGTTTTAATATGACGCGATATGGTTCTATATGACAGTAAATTCTTTTATATGTAAGTATATGGTTCTTATATGGCAATATATGATCCTATTGTGACAACCTATTGCTTCTATATAGTAATCAATGGCTTTTGTTTGACAAAATATGTTTTTATATGACGTTATAGTTCTATATGTTCCGATATGACGATATATGGCTTCTCTGTGATGAAATAAGATACTTATATGACGATATATGGTTCCTGTAGATAATGTAGGGATCATATGCGTAACTATATGGCTTCTACATGAAAATATGTGGTTCTATATGATTCTATATGACAATGTATGGTTCTATAAGACGCTGTGTTCTAAATGTTTCTATATGACAACATATGGTTCCTATATGACAATATATGGCCTCTGTGCGATAATATATGATTCTCATATGGCAATATATGGTTCCTATATGTGAGTATATGGTTCTTATATAGCTATGTAATTCTATTACGACAATTAATTGCTTCTAAATAGCAATCATTGGCTATTGTTTGACACAATATGTTCTTATATGACGTTATGGTTCTATATGTTCTGATATGACAATATATGGCTCCTATATGACGAAATAAGGTTCGCATATGACGATATAAAGTTTTTGCCGGTAATATAAGGATTATATGCGTAACGATATGGCTTCTTCATGAAAGTATGGGGTTCTATATGATTCTATATGACAATATATGATTCTATACGACTTTGCGTTCTAAATGGTTTTATATGACAATATGTGGTTCTATATAATTCTATATGACAATATATGGTTCTATACGAATCTGTGTTGTTCTAAATGGTTTTATAGGACAATATGTGTTTTTTTTACTCCCATATGAAAATATATGGTTCCTATATGACAATATATGGCTTCTGTACGATAATATGATTCTCATACGGCAATATATGGTTTCCATATGATCATATATGGTTTCTATATGAAAAAATGTGGCTCTACAGTTCTATACGTCAATATATGATACTGTATGTTACCATATGACAATATGTGATCCGCTATAGCAAAAATATTCATATCTAACAAAGAACAATCACATATCGTCATATAGGCTAAAAATAAAATTCTAACCCATGGTTCACACTAACCTGTAAAAGCTCCAACATAGCCTTGACCTTGGCGCGTTCCTCCCCCTCAAATCCCGAAAACGACACATTATGCTGACTAAGCGGTTTCTCCCCAATCTCATAGGGCACCGGAAAATGAATAGCATGCCAAGGGGGCAGCACATGCTGCTTGGAAACGACATCAGAAAGCCAATGAGCATTGACACATCGCTTTCCATCCCTGAGCGCTTGAACCACAGTAGGATGCTTCTGAGTAATCGCAAGAACATGTGTCGCACGTACGCAGTAGTCTGGTTCAACTTCTCCACCATGGCGCTCGATAACTTGCTTCCAATTAGCGACTTCCAAAGCAGGAAACTGGGTATCATACTCCGCTATCACAAAAATGCAACCCAGAAGACAGAGATCCGGCGGAAGCTTCAGATTAGGATTGTGTCCGTAGAACTGGGCCTTGGGTTGCTGAACCTGCTGAGTGTACATCTTGATCCCAGCAGCAGCTCCGTTGGTGATGTTCCCTAATGTCCTCCTCTGGTAAGCAGCCAGCAGAGCCGGGTCCTGGGACGGAGGAGGTGGCGCCCGATGTTGGGCAGTCATTAGCCTGAGTTGTCCAGCAGCACTTCCTTCAGCAGCTCCACCATGGAGCCTGTTGGTCAGCATGTTGGCCAATGCAGTCTTGGTCTTCGCATTGACCACCAGCTGTTCGGCTGGCATCTGAGCTGCTGGAACCGCCAGCGGAATCTCCTGCTGCTGTTGTTGTTGTTGTTGTTGTTGTTGTTGTTGTTGTTGCTGCTGTTGCTGCTGCTGTTGGAGATGTATCTGCTGCAGCCTGGCCATCTGCTGCTTCTGCATCTGCAAGTGGGCCATCTGCTGGGGGGTCAACTGTCCTTGGAAGTTCTGGGCTGGTGGAGTCTGGGCCTGGACCTGGATCACCTGGTTCGAGTTTATCGGAGCTAAAGCTGGCGGCTGAACTGGCATCGGCTTCTGGTTAACGATCTGCCCACGCTGGACCCACTGGACCGGTTGGGCCGTCCTGATGATCGCCGGATGTGCTTGCCGGTTCATCTGCTGCTGCTGCTGGAGAATCAAATTCCTGGACTTCTGGATCTTCTGGATCACCTGGGCTCTCTGCTGCGGGTCCATCTGTTGTAGCTTCTGGTGCGTCTGGGCGTCCAGGTGGATCAACTGCCTTAGGTGCTGCTGGGGCTGGACCCAACCCGCTGGTCTCTGCTGGCCCAGTTGCTGCCTTTGGAGCTGGAGGTGGTACTGCTGCTGCTGTTGCTGTTGTTGCTGCTGTTGCTGCTGCTGCCAAGCTTCTCTATTAACCACAAAACTCTGGTTTTGCGGCTGGCCTTGTATTGGAGCTTCCCGGACAATGAATTGGGTCTGCGGAGCTGACTGCTGAAGTTGCTGAGATATCTGTTGGATCTTCTGCTGCTGTTGCTGCTGCTGCTGGATCAGTAAGAATTGTTGACGCTGTTCTGGGGTTAGTTGCTGCTGCTGCAATGGTTGATGGATTGGTTGCTGGATCATCTGCTGTTGGATATGCTGAATGTTGATCTGCGGCGGTCCCATTTGCTGTTGTTGATTTATCGGCTGCTGCTGCTGTTGTTGCTGTTGTTGTTGTTGGGCGATTGACTGCTGGATCATTGTTTGCTGTTGAGGACTTATAGATTGTTGTTGGGTTATTGTTTGCTGGATAATTGTTTGTTGCTGATTTAAGGATTGTTGAGGACTTATCGATTGTTGCTGTTGAATTATCGCTTGTTGCTGTTGATTTAATGATTGTTGCGGACTTATCGACTGCTGCTGTTGTGGCTGAGTTATTGACTGCTGATTTATCAACTGTTGTTGTTGTTGTTGTTGTTGTTGTTGTTGTTGTTGTTGTTGTTGTTGTTGTTGAAGCTGCTGTTGATTCATCAATTGTTGTTGTTGATTGAGTGGTTGTTGGTTAATTGACTGTTGTTGCTGTTGTTGGTCAATCAATTGTTGCTGTTGACTTATTAATTGTTGTTGTTGTTGTGGATTAACTGACTGCTGCTGTTGTTGATGTTGTTGTTGTTGTTGTTGTTGTTGTTGTTGTTGACTTATCGACTGTTGGTTTATCGCTTGTTGATTAATCAATTGCTGTGGCTGTTGTTGATTAACTGGTTGTTGTTGCTGACTTATCGGCTGTTGATTTATCGACTGTTGACTTATCGACTGTTGACTTATCGACTGTTGACTTATCGACTGCTGATTGATCAATTGTTGTTGCTGCTGTTGTTGTTGATTAACTGGTTGTTGTTGTTGCTGGCTTATTGGCTGTTGATTAATTGACTGCTGACTTATCGGCTGTTGATTTACCGACTGTTGATTAACAGATTGTTGTAAATTAATTTGATTTTGAGGAATTTGTTGATGTCCAACCGGAATGGGTTGTTGCTGTTGAACGATAACATGTTGATTAAAGCCTTGCAATTGAACTGATTGTTCCGAAACAGGCTGAACAGGTTTCATAGGGGTCCAATTTTGTGAATTGTAAGTCAAGCTGCTAGTAGAGACAGGCCGTTGATACTGCGGTGATTCTGGAGAAGTGGGTTGAACCTGAACCTGCTGAAGAACTTGCTGAACTTGAACGGGCATTCCATAATTCTCCCACGGCAACCTGGTCTTAAGAACATCATCCAGAGTCTTGTCTTCCGGATCTTCCTGATCCTGATCAATGAACCCAGTGATCAGACTGATCGAACTGGGGGCCGGGTACACCATGAGCCGGGGGTGGTACTCGGATTCATCAACCAGGCTTCGAGTTCTGCAGCACTCGGTGACCCAATCAGGGGTGACAATCTTGATCCCTCTTGAATTAGCAGCTTCGTACTTGGAACCAGATGCTTTGCCAGCTACTAGATGGGTGATGGTCCTGTCTAGTCGGGGGAGGAAGTGGCCACCCTGGAGGGTCACCATCGCCCAGATGGACTCTATGTCCCGGGAAGACAGGCAGGTGGTGCTGATCCGGATCGAGGAGAAGAGCTGGTTCTCCTGGGCGGAAAAGTAATGGGTTGGAAGCAGTTGCTTGCATTTTGCGGACTGCAAGACCCAGTCTTGGGTTACAGCTGGGATCTCGTAGATGTCTTTGGCTTCAAAGAGCTCGCTCTCTGCTGGTTCTTCCCCGGCTATTAAGTGCGTCACAAAGTCGCTGAAATAATTTGAGCGCTCGGCGCTCCCTTTGTGCAGCAGGGACAGCACCTAGAAGGTTACTTGCAGGTTAATTTTTGTGAATAATTAGGTGGGTTGTTTATTAATAATCAATAAGGTAAAAGCACCAATTAGTGACAGGGATCCAATTACTGACACCCTATTTTATTTTAAATCTCATAATTATCTACAATATTAATAACAATCGTTCATTTTTTTATACAATCACTATAATTTAAGAATTTAAGAACCAATTTATTCAATTTTTTAAAAATTCGTTTATTTTTCTTAAAAAAAATATTATGATTAATTTTTTAATATTTATGACCTGATTAGTAGGATTTACTAATTTGAATAAAAATCGATAATTTTATGGAAAAAAATTTTAATTTTCTCTAAATTATTATAAGAGAAAATTACTGATTTATATATAAATAGACCAGTTTATTGAGCTTAATAAAAATTCTCAAATATTAGCAATTATTTTAAATTTCACTCAATTTTATGTAATTTGATAAAAATTTTTATAGATTTTTAATTTTTAAGACAATAAATTTTTTTTTTTTTAAATGTGACTATTTTTTAGATTTTTCATATTATCAGAGAAAATAAATTTTTTCATTAAAAATAAATTATTAATTTCATTCAGAAATAATGAAAATTAAGTTAGCCAACATCTAAAATTTCTTAGAATTTTTTTTATTGAAAAAATTGATACAAAAAAATTAAAAAAAGAATTTTCATTCATAAAAAACTTGAATCATAAGTGCAATTTTTGAAAAATATTTTTTAGTTTTAATTTAATAAAAGAAAAAAAATCAAAAATTTAATAACGTCGGCTAACTTCAGGATTAAGGTAAGAGCCCCAGTAGCGGCTCAGGAACCAGTACCTGCTCACTTTATGTATTAGTATATCTGCATTTGTGAATATAGATATACAAATACATGGAGTGAGCAGGTACTGGGACTTTTACCTTATCTAGAAATGATAAATTTCGATAATAATAAACCATTTTACCTCAAAAATATTTAATTCTATAATAAGGTAAAAGTCCCCATTATGAGACGATGTCCCCATTTATGATACACTACATAAAAAATACTATTTTATAAAAAAAAAACTCACCGCTAGCATACCAAAAGTATAATAAATATATTATTTCATCTATTCCAAAAGCAATTTTCGACTTTGGTTGTTAATTGATTCCATACTGTTTTTTAAAAATATTTATTAAAGTGCGAGGTTTGTTATCTGTGCTCAAAGCCACGACCGAGAATAGTAAAACGACAACGGCTACCTAGTTTTTTATATTAGTGTAATTTCATTGTGTCTTCTACTTTTATATTAAATTGTATATCAATTGAAAGCTGATGAGTAATAGACTTTATTTCTATACACATTTATGCGTTTTTTTTATTACAATATTTTAAATATGAATGTCTCACAATACCTACACTTATTTACGTGAATGCCCCGGTTTATGAGACACTTTTCTCGGTGTATAGTGTAATACGGACATATGTTTTTCGGCTTCTCCCGATTAAGTGAGACAGTGTACATTTATAAGATTTTATATTGCTAATATGTGATATTAATTATAAAAATAGTATAATTATATGTTATAAAATATTGGCTACTATTAAACCTCAAATATTTTTCTAAAAGTAAGTATTTTAAGTCAAATAGTTTTAGATCATGAGCCTAACCTCAAATCATAACATAGAATAACTTTGTCAACAAGTTTTTCTGTTTTTTAATTAAATCTTTTGGATAAATTTATAATATTTTTTTGTATATTGATTCTGAAAATATATTATTTATTTCTTATTATTTCAGAGTAAGTAAAAAATAAATTATAAAAAAAAGCTGAGATAATGAAGCATAAACAAAATTCCAAAGTGACAAAAACTCAATCATCAAATTCAACCAAAAAAAAAAAAAGTGTTGTGTTCCAATATGAATAATAAAATGAAGGAAAAAAAAATTAAAAGGATTAAGTAATTATAATTCGTGAAATATAAAAAAAGCTCTAAAAGCAATGGAAGACACAGAGTTGTCCTTGAGAAAAGCAGCTGCTGTTTATGGAGTACCGATTGTTACCCTTGCTAAATGAAAAAGTATTAGTCCTAAGAAGGCAAAAATTAGAACTGGGCCAGTGACAGTGTTATCTTTAAAAGAAGAGGATGTTATTGTTCAGTGGGTGTTGTACAGAGCAGTAATAGGGTCACATGTGACAAAAACTGAATTATTGAAGACGTATAACAATCCGTTACTGTCTTAGACAATCATTTTAATGTGATAAACTGTGAACAAAATAATTTAATTAATGATGAACAATTTTTTACGGTTACATATGAATCTAATCAAGTTAGTCTTCAAGAATCATCAATTGATAGCAATAACGTAATACAGTGCACTTCTAAAGACTTCAGTGAAGACAAACTAATTGATCAAACTATCTCTACTGATGATACATATTTATATCTGCAAAACCCAGAGAGATTATAACAGAGCTCACAAATATTAATTCTACAAATCTTATAAACAACAAAGTTCATCAATTAGGTATGTAAATGTCAACCTCACATTCATGTTCAATAAATTTAACTTAATGTGACTTTTTTTCAGAACTTATAAAAAAAAATTTAGATCCAGAAAAAACATGAAAGAAGAAAAATTTAACAATAAAAAAATATTACAAGAAGAAAAAAAAATTAATGGCTCAAATCAAGGAATGACAAAAAAAATCAAGAAAGAACAATAGATTTAATTCAATAATTTGCGTTGATTAATTGTTTAACTGATAAAAAATTTTTTATAAGTTAATTAAAAATAAAAGTAATTCCTTCTTTTGTAAATACGATTGTCTAAAATTGATAAATATATAAAATTTGATCAACTTTGCTGATTTTTTAACTGTCTCAAAAATAGGGTCCTGTGGTTCGAGACACTGGGACATGTGACTTTAAAGTGTCTCATAAATAGGGTCATGTAGCTTCCCCAAAAAAACCATAATTTAATTAATTTTTGACCAAAAAAACTATAAAAACAATATAAATATTGATTTAATGATCATCAAATTATCGTATAAAGCGATTAAAAGTGTATTTTTTTCTTAAATGGATTAATTACTCGCAGGAATGTTCAACCTACCTTGAAAAGTGTCTCATAATAGGGACTTTTACCTTAGATAGATTTTTCTCAAAAAAAATGGAACTTGTTCAAGAAAAATTAAATAAAATAAAATAAAATTTTTTTTTAATATATTCCCATAAGGTAAAAGCCCCAATAAATGATCACGTACCACAGCTGCCCAATTTTAAAACACAGTAACTGCAAAATTTTTCTACCTGATTTTTTATACAGCTTTTAGACCTTAATTTCAAGTATTTTTTTTTTTTTTAAATATTTATATTCAAGTATTTTCTATTCATAAATCAAATTTTTCATCAATCTGGCCCGCAAATTTTTTTTTAATAAGAAAAATTTTTAAAAATCTTGAAATTGTCAGTTACTGTGTATTGAAATTGGGCAGCCGACCAGTATATGATCATCTATTGAAGTTTTTACCTTAAACTCTTTAAATTTTCCAACAAAAATTTAATAAAAAAAAAAAAAAAAAATCTTTATCTCAAAAAACTTTCAATTTCACAATTTTTAAATTTCTAACTTTAAGTTAGCAGTTACAAAACAATTTTTCAATTCTTTAATTATATAAATTAGTTCAAAAAAAAAGATATGAAAAAAAAAGTTGCTTTTTTTAATTTTCTATAATTTCTACATGTCAATATTTTTTTTGCGATAATTTATTTATATAACTTCATTTAATTACCTTCAATATAAATTATCATTTGTCTAGTTTTAATGATTTTTTCAATTAATTTCGTGACTTTGAAAATTTTCAAAAATTTTTCAATAAACGTGTTTCGGCCCTTCGTTTCAAATAATTTTTAGGTCGTAAAAGATAGCTTGAACCTATTAAATTTATGTTAAAATTTACATAATTATCTTTAATTTGAGCTATTATTCGTCGCCTTTTGATCCATTTTTCAATTTATTTCGTATTTGGGAAAATTAAAAAAAATCTAGAGTAAATGAATTTTTAGCTTTTATTATCAAATAACTTTCATCTGTTATAAATCCTATTTTTTTAGGTAGATGTCTTCAAATATCTATTTATTGTAGTCGGTCTCATATCGTTATTTGCAAAATTATGATAAAAAATACTTTTTAGGACATTATTGCCTTTTAATAACGTGTTTTTTTTTAATATTCAAACGAAAAATCTACCTATCCATGTCGGGTATGGCCGAATGGGGCTTTTTTTTAATTTTATTTAACAAAAAAAAATTGTTTAAAACAATTGCAATTTTTACTTTTTTTTTAATATTCTACATGTCAATTTTTTTTCGCTATAATTTATTTGTTATAAAATTTTTTAAATTATTATACATATGGTCAATTAATTTTCATCATTAAAGTAAGCAGTCACTTGAAAATTTTTAAATTTTATTTAACAAAAAAATTATTTTTAGAAAAATTGCAATTTTTATTTTTTTAAATTTCTCCATATCAATTTTTCTTTCTAATTTTTTTTGCCATAATTTATTTGTTAAAAAATATTGAATATAATTTAAATGAATTTTTATACAAAATTATTAAAAATATAAAATTTATTTTCAATTTTAAATTTCCCGCCATTCGCGCCATTTTATTTTCCGCCATAAAAAATAAAAATAAACAAAATATATTTGGTCTATGATAACACAAAACTTGTAACCTTTAAATTTAAAAAAATTACACAATTAATAACAACAATAACAATAATAATAAAAATAAAACAATAACAATACCGGGAACTGTTCACAAAAATCAACAAGTAATTAAAACTTAATTTTCAAACAAACAAAACAATAATTATAAAAAAAATTAAATAATAATAATAAAGATATGCAAACCTTGGGATCGGCACGTCCAGTGATATAAAATTTAACGTCGGCAAACAAAGCGACGTCGAGTTTCAATTCCTCTAATCCCGCGCGTATATCTCCCATTATTTCAACAAAAACGATACATTTACTATTTATTGTTATTTAAGTTATTATTATTATGTAACATTTTGGAAACAAGCACGTTGGACCCGAGGTTAGCGTCGAGGGTGAGTTTTTTGTAATTACTCGGGTGCTGTTACTGGTCACTAGGATTTACTCGGTTGCCGCGTCGGTTTTTGTTGTGATTGACGGGTTACACTGATTTCGAGGTTAGCCTGTGTCAATTCATGAGCATATTCATATACCTTTAAATCGATTATAAGTGCACCAGAGAGGAATTTCGATTGTTGGGTTACGAGATATATCGAACTTGGCGAGTTTTAAAAGACTGATTTACCGTCGAGAAGTTATCTGTCTGTGGTACGTTCTGTTTTATCTGTTGTTTTGTCTAAAGATATCTTCGGTGGTAATGCAGCGGGAAAATTTTAAATTATTTAGCGCGGGAAAATTTGAAATTATTTTAAGCGGGAAAGTTTGAAATTATTTTACGCGGGAAAAGAGAATTGAAAATAAGTAGAAAGTTTTATTTAAAATTTAAAGAACTTTGTTATTTATTATTAATATGAAGAAATTTATTATTAATTAAAATTTTTATAAGGTTTAAGAATTTATTTTTAAAATATTTAAATTATAAAAATAAATTTGAAGCTTTATGATAATTAAATTAATTTAATAATTTGAATAAATAAGAAAAGCGCAATTGGAAAAATTTAAATAGTTTTATTATAAAAAATTTAATAAAATAATATTTATTATTAATTTCTTCAATGGAGCATTCGAGTTGTAATTACAATTATTAATTTTATGTTACGTAAAAGGTACCAAATTTTTAAATTTAATAATTCGGAAAGCTGAATCAACGAATTAGTAGCCTAAAAAAATAAAAACATTTTTGTGAGAGGCACTTTTACGTCTCCGTAAAAAATAAAAAAAATCCTATTTAGTTTACTAAAGTAAAGTTTTATATATTAAAATTAATGCATATAGTAATTTAAAAAAAAGACACAAATTTTGGAATGAAATATTTTTTATTAATACCGACAAGTACGAAAAGTATCTAATATACAAACATATTATTTTAAACAACAATAATTTCATAGAAAATCACTGCTCATTAAAAGAATTATTTATTTTCTAGCTAATTGTAAAAAAGATAATTATTTTAATTTGGAAAAAAAAATAAAATGTGTCGGAAAATTTTTTTATTTTCCAACATTATTTATTTATATTCGTCGAGTAATTATCAATCGCATCACGATCGGCACTTAATTATCACTATCCTTTCAACAATCCTATTATTACCCCTCCCGTCTAATTTTCCGTGATTGCATCCTCCGAGATAATGCGATGTATGATTACTAGAGTATTATATAAACTTCAGTTTTTCAAACTTTTATTTATTTTCATAAATATTCTTCTGCAGTTGTAAAGTTAATTTTTCTTCAGTTTGTTACATTAATAACAATAACTAATAAATAATTTATTAAAAATGTATCTTTTTGCTGTTTTTGTCGCTGCTCAAATTTTAGCGCTTCAAATAAATGCAGTAAGTTATAATATTTATTAAAATAGTTTAAACCGAAGGTCTAAATTTTTTTTTTAAGAATAATTTAAAGACGCTCCATAATAATTTTTTGGAGCTGTCACGGTGATATCATCTTCAAATAGTCTAAAAATTTTTGAATAATTAATTTGATTTTTTTAAGACTATTTTAACATTTTTTCAAGACGATTTTAAGATTTTTTTAAGATTAAAGTCTTAAAATAATTTTTAAATAGTCTTAAAATTATCTTAAATTAATACTATTAATTTAAGATAATTTTAAGATACATTAAAATTATCTTAAATTAAATTAATTATCTTAAAATAATCTTAACTAAAGACTATTTTAAGATGGGCTAACAGCAACAGAGCCCCTGAAGATTAAAACGGAAAGTCTTAAAATTGTCAGATAATAATTTTTTAACAATTTAAAAACATTTTCTAACATCAACAATTATAAGAAAATTTTAAGACGATTTTTTTTACACGGGTGCTATTAAAACCATTTTTGTTTAGTTAAAAAATAAAAAAAATTTTTAACCGTGAAAATCATTGTTCAAACTTAACATAATTGTCAGAAAGATTATTATTATTTTGTTTTTAATTCCAGGCATCAGTCTCCGCCGACAAGCATGTAGAAAAATTTCAAAAAAAATGTCCAGTTTTTCCAAATAATTTAGAAAAAACTATTGATTTTGCTGAAAAATCCTACCAATCTTTGCTTGTGTCCGGCGTTCCTGAAGAAATACTGAACAAAGAAATAGACCGGATGGTTGTTTGTGTATTCCAACATTTAGGATTGGTAAGATATATTATTAAAAAAATAGTACAAATCAATTTTTATAAAACATTTTTTCTTCTTGCTTTTCATCAGATAAAACCTGACAATTCCTGTGACGCTAAAGCAGTAGTTAATTTCTTCAAAGAAACTAGTCCGTATTTCAGAGAACAATTGCGAGCTTCAGAGAAGAAATTGGCCAGTTTTGAAAGATGTCTTTCTAAAAGTAAAAATTTCACTTTTAAACATTGATCATTTATATTGTGCGTAGATAGTTATGACATTGGTGATGAATTTTTATTTACAGAGAGTGAAAGCGCCGAAGAAGCCAGAGATTGGATTATAAATTGTCTGCAGAAAGAAATCTGGTTACACCCAGTGGATTATAAGCCGAAAGAAATTGATGAGAAAGAAAAAAATTTTTAAATATTAATTAATTAAATATTTAAATATTAATAAATTATTTTGTTTAAAATGATAATTTATGATTGTTAATAAATTGATAGAGTTAAAAAATAAGTGTGCAATAATTTTTTTGATCAAATAATAGAACAAGAATTTTCTTATAAATTTTCCAAGATTTTCCGACTCCATTTTCCATAATAAAATCTTTAGCGAGATAATTTCAACTTCCTTATGAAAATTCGGCTTTTAACTTTAAAGATTTAAAGAAAAGTCGGAAAATTCAACTTTTCAATTTTCCGGAAAATACCGATTTTTTAAACATAGCATTTTCATTTAAGAATTGTAACACATAAATTTTTCCATCTAAATAGGGTAAATGCACCAATTATTGACCGATTAAGGTTTTCTTTTTCTGTACTAAGCTATAAAAAATCTATTAACCTATGCTAAAAACAATTTGTAATGGATTTTATTAAAGTTAAATACTTAATTAATAATAATTAATAACTATTTATAATAAAAATTAACAAAATGATATTAATTTTGTTATTTGAATCTTGAAATACTAAAATCACCAATTATTGACCGAAGAAACCCAATAAATGACCGACCGTTCTCCAATTAATTCACCGCTCAAATAATTATAAGTAATCCACAGATTCGGTAGAATCTGGCGCCGAGTTCCGTTCAAATCCGTTGTCAACGGAACGCCAGACTACCGACTGTGTTTATTGTAAGCAGAACGGTATTTTGAGGTTGCAAAATTTTATTTAATTCTACGGTACTTTTTTTTTCCTAAATTGTATATTATAACAGTAATTCATACTTTATTTTACTGTTATTAATTAATTATATTCACTTATAACAATTAATCTACTTGAAATTACTAAATTTGATCAGCACAAACTATAGCAACGCAAAAATTTCGATCCTGACTTTTTTTCGATGGGCAAAGTGATCTGCCACAGACTAAATAATTCGAGAATGCATAGTAATCCTTCATTAGATGGGAAACTACAGTTAAAAAAAGATATTTTACAGCTTGCATCTACACCCGCCAGGGTGCGCTGGAATTATTTTTACATAAACTGTAGCTTCAAGGGAATAGTTTGCTATAAAAAATGCAGCCAACGCGAGATTTAAGTTGGTACCAATTGTAAATTTTTATTATAATTACAAAAAATACTAAAATCCGAACAAAAACAGTTTCACTGTAAAAAAATCGCGCCAAGTCCACGTTCATAAGACTATTAGTCCTAGTAAATAGATTTTACGAATTTAATTAAAAGTAAAATATTTCGCAACAACGCACACTAAATACGTTCCAAAATTGTTTTTTTAATTTTTAAATTTACATCAAAATTTTTTTTAATTTCCGAAAATCATAAACAATTATATCGGTTACTTGGATTTTTTAATTTTTTTATTTTATATCTTTTTGTAAAGAAAAAACTAATTTTTTTTTCTTAATAGTCTTATGAACGTGGACTTGGCGCAATTTTTTTTCAGTGAAACTGTTTTGGTTCGAATTTTGTAAACTACATGTATGTAATTAAATTTATGCAGTACTTTTGAAGTATTAACGATATCTTTAACAAAACTAAACATACAATATAATTTTAAATCGTACTTTTTTTATAAAATAATATAAATAATAGCAATAATCAACATAAAGTCACATTTCTTTAGGTCACAAATAATCACAAATTCATTTTGATGACGATAATTCTTCTGATTCACTTGAAATTTTTTTATTCTTCTCCTTCTTTTTTTCAATTAAAGCTTTTTTACTAGCTTGTAACTCTTTTTTATTTTTTTTTAATTGCTTATCAATTTTTTCTTCTAATAATTCGTTCTTTGATATAACCGTTTGATAAAAAAATTAGAACAAAATAAAATTTAATAATCAAAAAAGATTTTAAGTATTATTTTAATTATAAATATACATTTTATAATGATTATTTTTATATTTACAAAATATTGAATGACTAAAGTACTTTAAACACTTGACAGATTTAATTTTGAGGTTGAGAAGTTAGTATTATAAATATACGGTCATTAATTGGATTGTGATAAAATCAGAGGGTCTAATAAATGACCGAATGAATTTTTTACTGGGTAAATAGCTTCTGACGGATCTAATAGTTGACCGGTCTTAAAATAATATTAAAACTTATAATTTAACTTTATTTTTTCAAAAAAGTTAGAATCTGATCTTTAATTAACATAATAAAACTAAAATATTTTATATTATGCCGATAAATATCACTAAATTAATGATGAAATGCACTGACTCTCCAATTGTACGCTAGTTATTTTCGACCGCTTTATGGCTGGTTGCGTTGTAAACAAACTCAGAATATTTTTTTAAAGCTATAATCACTGCACAATTAATTGCGTAATTTTTTATTATGATGATTAAATGCCATATTTTTTTATTTTAATACTTTAAGAAAAAAAAACCCTTGTAAAATATTAATTAATTAATTTTTTTATACATCGGTCAACTAATTGGTGACCGGTCAAAAACTGGTGCATTTACCCTAATCAATAATTTTTCTTTGAATTATTTAAAAAATTTTCCAAACTTTTCTTCAGAATTTTCCGATCCACTTTTCAATATTTATTTATTCAATCATTTAATTCCATCTGTATAAAAAAATTCAGAAAATGTGTATTTTCAATTTTCCGGAAAAACTGTAATTTTCCACTACAGAATTTTCATGGAAGCATCTGCATTTTCCGCCCGTATTTTCAATATTAAAAAATGTGGCTATTTAATACCCTACCCACCTCGTAAAAAAATTCGACCTTTTAACATCAAAGTTTAAAAAAAAAATCGGAAAATTCAAATTTTCAATTTTCCGGAAAATTGTTATTTTCTATCATAAAATTTTAATCGAAGATTGTAACGTGAGTCTTTAACCTGATTAATCAAACATGTCGTAGAAATTTTCATTTGAATTTTCCAAGCTTTTCTTCAGGATTTTGCCGATCAATTTTCCGAATTTTATATTTTCAGTTACTTAGTTCTATCTTAAGTAAAAAAATTCCAGCTTACTACTTTTCAGTTTTCTGGGAAAATTCGGAAAATTCGAGTTTAAAATTTTCCGGAAAACTTTAATTTTCCACTACAGAATTTCCATAAAAACATCTGAATTTTCCAAGCTTTTTTTTACAATTTTCCAACGGAATTATCAAACTTAATTTCGATATTATCTACGAAAATTCGGAAAACTCGTTTTCTCAATTTTCCATAAAATTTTCTTATTTCCCGACAAAATTTTAACCATTTATCCGTCTAAATCTCCGACTAAATTTCAAATTCAAATTCCAAACATTTGAAAAAAATTCGCAAACTTCATTTTCCCAATTGTTGTATAGAATTTTCCCAATTCTACACAACATTGTCTATTTTTCCGGAACTTTTCCGAAAAAACTAAATGTTCTATATTTTCCTTATTTTTTTGTGAAAATTTTCCATAATAATTTCATACCGTTGTTTTTCAGATATTTTCTAAAAATAAAACAACTTTTCTCTATAATTTCTATGTATTTTTATAAAATATTAAAAGAACTTTTTAAACAATAACATTGTATTATCTGAAGAGTGTGTAAGCAGTTGGAATAATATGTAAATTTTTATTTGTGTTATGACAATACCCTCAAAGAATAATATTGTTTCGATACACAATAATATTCTGTTTATTAATCAATATAATCTCAAGATATAAATACCTAAAATTTTTAATATAATCACATCAGTCTTCAGTTGATACCATTAATTAATTGTTTATTAACAAAACTCGTGAGTGTTTAAGTATTCTTTTACCGGATAAACTTTCTGATTTTTTTGAAAAAATTTTTTTTCAATTTTTTTGGAAAAATTCTTTTTTAATTTTTTAGGAAAAATTCTTTTTTAATTTTTTTGGAAAAATTCTTTTTCAATTTTTTTGGAAAAATTTTTATTCAACTTTTTTGGAAAAATTTTTTTTTTAATTTTTTTGGAAAAATTTCTTTTTGAATTTTCCGGGAAAACTTTCCAGAATTTTGTATAATTTTCCAAAAATAATCGGGAGAAAATTACCATGATTTTTAAAATTTTTCGGGAAAACTTAAGAATTTTCCAGGAAAATTTTTTCCAAAAATTTTAATTTTTTCTTCATTCCCACAGAATACAACCAAAATGCGTTACATCATTGTCTTTTTGGCCGCTATTGCCTGTGCCGCTGCCATGTCTACCAGCAGCCACCACTCGTCAAGCTCAAACAACAACGGTGCCTGGGTTGATGGAGTCCCAGTAGGTCCATACTGGAACGGAAACTGGAACGGAAACTGGAACAGAAACTGGAACGGAAACCGTAACAGCAACTGGAACGGTAACACCCCCAACAGTAACTGGAACGGAAACCACAACGACAACTGGAACGGTAACACCAACGGATGGAACGGTCGCCCCAACGGAAACTGGAACACCAACCACAACGCCAACTCCAACTGGAACTCCCATGCTTAAGAACTTTCTTAAATAATTTGAAATCACTTTTCAATGATTCCAATACTTTTTGATTTTTTTACCAAATTCTAAATTATGATCATCTTCAATTAAATTTTGGATTCGTACTTTTCGGTGTTTTAATAAAGAATATTTCATTCCAAAATTTGTCATTTTTTTTTAGTTACTATATGCATTAGTTTTAATATTTAAGACTTTACTTTAGGGGCGTTCCATGCAAAATGGGAAAATGATTAAAATTTTTAAATTTCTCTAAAGAAAATTTTTTTTAATCAATAAGAAAATCGATTTTTCTCTCCTAATAACTTTTCAGCCGTACTAACTTGTATCCGGGTCAAATATTGTTTTAATAGTTTTAAGAACAAATTCATTTTATGTGTGTTATTAACTATCATATATTCATTATTATAGTTTTAAAAACAAATTTTTTTATGTTCGCTATTAATTAACACCTAAGTTTATCAAGATCGTGTTGTCAGCATGCTAAATCCTTTATTTGTGTTTTTTAATTAGTTTTTTTTAATTATCCTAAATAATTTATAGTTAAATATATAAACAATAATGTTTCTAAGGTTGAAATAATATAAAAGTCTTTTTAATAAACAACTTGATGTAGACATTTTGTACTTGTCCCACCAGTCACAAATGCCTGTCCCACCAGTCACAATAAAAAAAATTT